TATATTCTAATAATAGTGTCCTGAATGTTTTGTGGTGGCAAGGACTTAATAAATGTGATTATTAATCGGAAGTTTAACAAGTAACAGCTTCAGACTTTATCCCCAGGAAAAAATGTGTTTCTGTATCCCAACTTACTAAATTAAGGTAATACATTTGTGGCTGGATTTTTAGTATCTATATCTATATTTATCTATCTGTCCATCTCATCTGGCTTCAAGATCACTGAACTGTAGAGATGATCAAAAGCAAAATGAGAATGCTGAAGCTAGGGTCTCCTTTGAAATATTGTCTTTCCAGGCTGATACTTTTCCAGTCATTCTGCCAGCAGTCTCAGGTCTGCATCGTCTATTTAAATTGTCATCTCATCTAAGTGCAAATCTTGGCCCTAGCCAAGGCCATCTGTTGTTGGGTAATAGTTGTGATTTATTCTGCCTCTGGTTGACATTCATGCTCATGGGCCAGATGCTGACTTGCAAGATTTGCTTTTATTCATTTTCAGTTTTATACCATGTGTTAATATCACAGACAGCATTTTAATTTTAGATTTTTTTGTCTAATGTTTAAAATTAGGGATGAGTAATAGCATCACACGCCCATCTGGGATGCGATTCAGCATACTTCAGAACAGGATAGGACAGGAGAAAATATTTTACATTTTAGAAATGCATTCAAACAGTGTTTCTAAATGTCTAATTTCTTCCTAATCACTAATCCATACAATAATTTATGTTGCGTATAAATAATTAGATATTGCTTTCACATAAAAGTTGTGGACTATTTGAAGACTTCTGAGCTCGAGAATGTAGTAGGTAGCTAAACTGTAGGCAAAATATTTATGATACTCTGCAGCATACCCACTGCTACCTTTGCCTTCAATGTAGAATGAGGGTAATTATGAAATTTTGCAAGTTAGGACTGATTGTCAGAGGGACACTCCTGCATATAAAAGACAAAGATTATTAGGGAGATGGATAAATTTTCCTAATTCCAGAATTTTAAAAACGGCTATTTGTAGTAGAGATGGGCAGTATCCAACTTCCAGACAGTCTGTGCATCTTGCACATTAGCTCCTGGTAGCAGTTTGAACTTACAGCTGGCTGGCTCTTTATATGTCTGTCTTCTCCAAAGCTGGTGTTGAAACACTGAGGAGTTGTGCAGCAACTCCAAAGCGTGTTTGGATACACAAATGCAAATGGAAATTACTTCATTGTCTCACTATCTGCTGTGGGAGTCTTCCTTCTCACACCGTTCAAATGGCTCCAGTAAAACAGAGAAGTAGCAGGTGAATTGATACATGAACATACTACTTCACTGTGTAGTTTTAGGAGATATTTCAGAGTCCGGAAACTAAGGGGGAGTTAATTTTAATGTCTTGGGTAGCAGAGCAGCTTCATCAAAAATGGTTCCCTATGCAACTTGTTTCAGATCCAGTGAGTTGATCTTGTCGGGTTGCGTTTGGAGAGGAATTGCTAGTAACAGTGCATGTATAATAGGTATCAAAGTTTTTATCGTATCAGTTTCTGTCTCTAACAGGACTTTGTGTGGCTAAGCAGGATGTGTTGGGCCTGCCATGATTTGTGTAAAATAAGTTCACTTCATTAGGTTAGACTGAATTATAATATTGGCATTTTATATATTTGTCTTACTTCTTATATTCCTTTGATTTTGAGTGACTGTAATTGTGATCTAGCAAACAACGCTCCTTTTGTTTCTCTGAGTCAGGGAAAGAAGACTGGGTGGGATTCATTTAATACAGCTTCAGGTGTTTGGAGGTTGGTTGACCAGTCTGAACTAGACCTCATTCTCATGATAGTTACTGGAGAGCAGCAGACTTCTCTGGAGCTCGTGTCATCTCCAGTGCTATCTTAGTGTAGAGGGAAATACCTGCTGGGGTTGCCTACTTCAGTTGACTGATCTACCAAAAAATGACTTGTTTTTGTTTTAAGCCAGAATTATGAGGAAGGAGAGCAGATAGTGGTGAACTGCTCATTTCTTCTTTGCAGCTCTTGAAACATCATTCACAAAAGTCTAAAATTAGTTGCGATTAAATCTAACTCCTGGTATTTAAAAAAAATGGCTTCTAGGTGAGGCAGAACTAGGAAAGGTGAATTTTACATCTCATTTTCAATGCAAGGTTTAGAATAAAGTATTGTTTTCCAGCAGATGAGTTTGGTGGAATCTGAACCTGCCCAGCAGTATTAGTGTATAGTTTGGCTGCGTTGCAGTCATGGAAACGAAATTTGTTAACTGCAGAGTCAGTCTGAGCCAAGTCTTTGAATTTAACCATGATGGAGGAGATGCAGAGCTTGCAAAGGCCAAGTCTGAGGTGTTTGCACTGCCTCTGTAGTTACCATGGGACTCTTATGAGAAGTTGGTACTGCCAGTGTCTGTCCAGTGGACTGCAAAAAGAGGATCACAGGATCATTGAAATGGGTAGAGAAAACCTCTGGTTGTGCCTAGCCCAACCTTCTCCTTTAAGTGGAACTGTTGCCGACAGTAGGTAAGGGCAGCCGTGGCTTTGTATAGCTGGGTCTTGGAACCTCCAAGGACAGAGATCCCCTAGCGCCCTGCTGACCTGTTCCAGGATTGCACCATGCTCTGGGTGAAAAACTGTTTCTGAATGTCCAACCTGAACCTCCTGTGGTGCAGCCAAGAAGGTAATGATACAGGAAGTATCTGAGGAATTTTCCTTATGTTGTTGCTAACAAGAAATTGGGCATTTCTGTCATGACACTGCTGTTTATTTCTGTAGAGGTACTCTGATTGTAAAAGTCTTTGTGATAGTTCTTAATACATTTTATATATACAGTAAATAAAGGTGCCATTATAAGCAAAACTAAGCCAGCATCAATTAATGTACCAATCTTCCAATATGTTAGCAAAAAATAGTAGTTGCTTGTAATGATTCACAGGTGATCATCTATGCAGTACTTGTGTTTTGCTAGGTAGTGATGTTGTGGACTCTCAGAAGCATTGAAAAAGAAATAAAACAGGATAAACATTTTTTAAGCGATGTTAAAAATAGTCACCAAATCACGACAAGGACATTGTTAAAAAATGTGGTTTTAATGGACATCTTATCTTTGGCCTGTTCCCTTGGGAACATTGAATTTCAAGAACAGTTTTTCTGTAAAGTTCATTGTCTTACTGAGTGTTGTCTTAATCTCAGTGGTTCAAAAACGAAATGGGAATTACATATGTAGTCTGAGAATTATACCAGAGTGGTTTTATAATTTTGGTACCAAGATGTTTTTAATTACAGTCATTTATTGAAGTAATGTTTTCTTCTCATGGTCAGTCATTTGGGTTTTGGGGGATTTTTTTGGTGGGAAAAGAAGAGTGATATTTCTGCAATGTATCTACAGAATATCTTAATATATCTAACACCTAACTTTGTGTGTAACTCAGTTCCCTGAATCTTAGACATAAGAATGTAGTGTTTAGATATTAAAATGGGGAAAATACAGGTACCCTGATCTTAAGAAGTTAATAACTGTGTCCTGACAGCAGTCTAATTCAGTCTGTCAAAAAGATAACCTTGGCCAAAAGCATAGGGTATTGGTGTGTCTGTTCTTAACCAGGGAGCCGAAGAGCTGCTTGAAAAGTTTCTGAGTGCTGGGTTTGTAAAATATCGTGGGAGTTTTACAAATGGGAAAGCATGAAATGAGATGAGAGCATCAAACTTGTTTCCGCTTTTTAACCATGTGAGATAGATGTCTGGATCTTGAAGAGTGAAAGGCAGATGTTTGGATCTGGTTTTAGGACAATTGCAAAAACTTCTTAACGAGTTGGTCTCCCTGTGTGTGACATGGTGGCACCTGCTGGCTTTTGGTCTTCTCAGAGACACTGGGAGTGAATTTGGCATTGCTGGGATTGGGAGAGGGGCAAACACAGGGTCTAGGAAAATAAACCTTTCCGCTTATTCTTCGGGGCCTGTAAAAGTTACTTAGTGATTGGCAGGTTTTTGTTTCACTTAGAGCCTGAGTTAGAAATTTAAACTCAATTTGTCAATTATATAAACACAGTCTTTTGCTCCTAATTACTAAGAGAGAGCAAATATACTTCCCTGACAATGCCCACTGTGTACCAAGATGGTGCAGTGAAGCAACCTTCTGTCAGGGAAGCTAAGCTTTGAAAGGCATGGGAAGCTTCCCTTGGCCTTAGTGGTCTTTCTTTGGTCCATCGAGATCAGCATGGTACAACAGTATGGGAGATGCCTGGACTGGCACTTTATATTCTGTTACTTCTGTTGATAAAGGAGGAACCATATTTTCCCAGGTTGCAAGTTGAGCAATTTGACTTGACCAACAGCAAAAAAACTGATGAAAAGCTGCATTTTTCCTTGCAGGTCAGGTCCATATCCAGAGCGTCTCCTGCAGATGCAGCTTCCACTGCTAAAACCCAGGGTAGTTAGTTTGAACACTGCTGCCTTACAGCAGCACCCAGCCACCTCACAGTTGAGATAAGCTACTAAAGCACAGCTCTGCCATCAAACTTCCCCGGTAGGTTTTGTCACAGAGCTCATATTTCACACCCCATCACAACCCTGAGTGATACAGTCCTACTGCACGAGGCATGTGGTGTAGAGTTTGACATAGATATAGCAAGATGACATTTATATGTAAAGCAGACAGCACTGCAAGTAAAGGCTCCAATTCAGCAAAGCCCTTAACCACATGTTTAAATATCATTGAAGTCAAGTTAAATTACTTTAATCATATACATAAGTACTCTGTTGAACAAGGGCCTAATAGTAGTTTCCATCTCTTTCCACATGATCAAGGCTTTTTCATATTCTGCTGCATGCGATAGGGATTTCGTCTCGGTTACACAGCATGAGCAGTTGCTGTGACTTTTGGAAGACTCCCTCAACAATGTGAATTTGCTAAGCTGTCGTAAATAGTTTTATGTGGAATGCCTGTAAGACAGAATGAAAAGGAATTTTCCCAGCTCTGTACTTCCAGGGTAGATTTAACACATCTTTTCCCCTATTTTCCAGGACCACCTGTTATTGCCAGCCACCACACATAACAAGACCAGAAGACCAAAGATGTCTATAGTGTTGCCAGCTGTAAACATCAATGGTAAGTCCAAAACATGAAAGAGAATGATAGGAGAATAATTTCAAAGGGATATGCCTGACTTGTACGTGGAAACCAAACTTAGACCAAATGTCTGTCGTTAAAGCTTTGAAAAAGAAGTCAAACTGGTCATTACTGGGCTGTAGTTGCCAGGGTCCCCACTGGAGCTGGGCTGCTGGCAAATCATCAGTGCCTGGTCACCGAGACTGTAACGAGAGGCTGTGTGACTTGGACAGCAGTTCTGCAGTATCTCATTGTAGCTCCTTCAAGGACTCAGGGGTGTTGCCATCCAGTCCCGGTGATTTATACACAGCTGATTAAGGGTTACTTGAATGTGATCTAGCTTCTCTAACTTGGTGGCTACAAAGATCCCATCAAGTGTGGAGACTGTCCTCGTCCTCTCATTTGGGTTCCTCCTGTGCCTGCTTAGCAGGGCAAGTTCCTTGGCCTTACTGGTTTGTTAGGATGCTGACTGCCTTCCATCGTCTTCCTCAGCTGTTTACCACTATGTTATACAACACTCAGTGTGAGTGGGATCTCTCAGCACTGCATGGTCAGGATTAATAATAATCATGTTACAGTGCTGTAGGACAGCAGAGAAAACAGCTTTGCGCTAAGGGCACAGGCTTATTAGTGAACAGAAATGTTCTTGATCTCCATTTTAGTCCCACATGAGAGACAGGACGTGAACTGTATAAATATATTGTTAATTCATGTGGTGAGAAGCTGCCAAGTTGGGACATGTTTGGGGCACAGGGTCACTGTCACAGTCATCAAACGCATCATGAACCCTGTAACAGTATAAACTTTACTGTCTGAATATCTGTGTACCATAATGCCTTTTTAAAACTTGTGTTTCACAGTACAAGTGAATCATAAACCCAAATGTTTTTTTTAAATTCAAGCATGCCAAAAACATTATCTGATGATGCGAATTTCCATAAACTAAGAAAAAAAAAACTGTTCAGGCTTTCAACATTTTGATAATTACATTTTTCCATGCAGTATAGTAAGTTGAGTGTGATAATCTATAACCAGCTATTTTAGGGGAATTTTATTAGATGTATCAGAATTATTTTTGGCATTTATCTTTCTGAAACTCCCTTTTCATGTCCATTACAAAAGTCCTTTTCTGACTGAGCTGAATTATCACATGCAAATGGGCACTTTATCACTTGGAGAACAAACTATTTCTAAATTAGAAAGTATTTCTTCTTAACACGTTACTGAGTCTTGTTTTACGTGAAATAACTTTTCAGTTGTTGGAGTAAATATAATTTGGAAAATACACATCAGAATCCAGTGACAAGTCTTATCCTTTATTAATAATGAAACATTGTGAAATTATAGTTACTTGAGTTCTTTGGGATTTTTCTTCAGAACATCAGCATAATCCAGGAAATAAAAGAATGTCCAGGGATTTGGGCAGAGATGTTGAAACAGATGAGACACAAGGATAGCATTAAGTAAACAACAGCATCAAACACTGCTTCCTCTGTGACACTCAGCCAGGTGTTAGGAAAAAAATTACAAGATACACAAGAGCCAGTAGGTAACTTGGGTTGATTTTTAATTTGATTATTAGTAGATTACCTGGAGGAGACGATTCCCTAAAAAGTTCTGCCTGGAGAAGAACCCATTTCTCTCCTTTGAGAACGTTGCTCCTCCACCCTATTCTGCCTCCGCGGGGACTGAGCACGTCCTGAACAAGCATCTGGAAGTTAACTGACAACAAAGCTTTCCTCCCAGCTGTCTGCTGTTGTTTTAAGCCCACCTTAATTCTTTGTCCACCTGCAGAGAACTGGCTGCTAGAAGAGGCTGGGTCTCCCTGGGAGGAATTGGCAAAAGTTTCAGTGAAAGAACTTGTCCCCTCCTGCCTTTTCTCGTGCCTCAGCCAGATCTCTGTGGAAGAAGGGAAACCTTCTCTGCTGCCACTTACTTGCCCTTCTTTTTTGCTGCCACAGCCCTGGCAGAGGAGATGAAGGGAATGCAAGTGAAGTGGTCTTTGCTTTGAAACTTTTTCAGAACTTCTTCACTTACCTTCTTCTGCAGGATCTTTATTTGTCTGTGTACTGAAGTCTACCCATGACACTGTTTCCAAACATGAAACAGCTTGCAGTTCAGTCGAGAACCCTTTGAACTTTTGGACAGTCTTTTCCCAGCAGGACTGCCATTTTTTTCTGAACACACTTTGATTGCTTGAGTGCCTTCTAATCTCTGCTAGAGACTCTGCCTTTAGCTGGCTTGAGCTGTTCCCACCACGGGCTGCAGGGACAAAGAACAGGTACGGACAAAGATTTGGAAGTAAAATGAGTTCAGTCACTGTCCTACGTGACTCCGCATGGAGGTTAATGACATGGTTCTGCAAGATTGGTCTGGCAGTTTTCACCAGTGTACAAAGCAGAATCAAGTTTACAGTTTGGAGAGTTTTTCTTAGAGGGAAGAGTTGGGGTAAGTCCGGCCAGTGGCAGTCCTAATGCTTTGCAGCTAATGGCAAGTCTCAACAGAAAATTTTGTAACAGACGGGTGTGTGTATGTGTGCATGTATGCATTCAGTACCATGGACGTTTAAGAGAACAATATTGTACAAAGCAGTAACAGTCCGTTACTCATTTTCAAGATAAAAACTTGATAAAAACTATTCAGTTGCTGGATGTTGGAAAAGAGTAAAAACGGCCATTACCTTGTAATTTTCTCCTTATGTGCTCCTTCTCCTGGTCAGCCTGAATTGCCCATGCCCCTCTGCGAGCATGAGGATAAGCCAGTAAAGTCCCCACTGAGGGCTTCTGTGCAGGTGCACAGAAATATGTTTAATAATTTAAGTATTATTTAATATGTTAACATAAGTTAAATGTTTAAGCATTTTTTTTTAAAGTATAGTAACTTGTTACATGTTGGTACATGTTAATCCCTCCCTTCTTACCCTCTTAGCAATTCCTTCTTCCCCACCCTGTTCTAAGCCCCTTTCCAAGCTTGCTGGGCCACCCCCCCAATTCACAGCCGGCACTTGCTGTCAGCTCCTCCATTTCTGCCTTCCCAGATGGTCTCGCAGCCCTTTACCATTCTTCCATTTCCCTGCTGGCTGCTGTCCCTGAGTACAGCTCTCCCCTTGGCCCCTGCAGCCAGCCATGCCCACGTTTTGACCTGCCTCTGCCCAATGACAGAGCCCCACCATTTGCAGACACAAGCAGTACTCACAGAAAAACTGATGGGACCTAAGGGTTGATAAGCCTGGAGAGAAAAATGCAGAACTTGTTAGTCCTGGTCCCACTGTACATGTTTTTGGGGGCACCATTGGTGTGGCTTTATTGAGAAGTTATTCCGAGAAGAAATATCTTGCAGTTTCTCATGGGAATGAAAGCCAACTGCAATTTACAGTTCAACTCCAGCTTTTGTTTTTAAGCAAGTCATGTTTGTTATGCTGGATTGAAGCTATTATTTTAGAAATCTAACTATGCACTTGAGACCAGTTAAGTCTCCAGTAGATTTAATTCCTAAATTTGCTTTTATTGTAATTCAGAGTCTTGTTGGCTCATTACACCAATTCCAAATTGACATATAGGCGGTGCCTTTCTTGAAGTTTAAATGAAAACATCTGCCATTAGCCTTGTATTTACTTAACTGCTGTAAAAAATGGAGTGGGTTATAACATTGATCTTTGGATCAAAATAATCTGTAGAGTACAGCATAGCTAAGCCATTCTTCCTACCCCAAGCACAAGCCTTTTGTCTCTGCAGGATGCCTGCAGCTCTGCAGCACAGCGTACACCACCAGTAGTCCTCTCCTTGCAGCACACAAAAGTGAGAACATATGTACAGTCATTCAGTGTAGGAGATAGCATTCAACGTTTAGCCCAAGAAGCCACTTTCATTAATGCATTTCTCCCTAGGATTAGGTTAGATACTCTCACAGCTTGTACTTTCTCTTGGTGGGAGCAGCTGTAAACATCTGTGCAGGTGTGTACTCACTATGAGTACTGGTGGTCTTAGCGACAGCACAAAGACCAAAAAGGCCTTTTTTCTTCTTAAGATCCCTGTGCAAAACAGTTCCCCATACGTGAAAGCCCTTCCATCATTTGCTCTCTCTAAATTGAGGGTTGGTGTCCGCGCTCTCAGCCAAACAAAAGTGAGAGACCTGATGGGAAAGCCACTGGTGAGGTCTGAGGCTCATTTTCTGGGAATTGGCAGCCATTACAGAAAGAGTTTTGAATTTTATACAAATATTATGGATAGGTCCTTACTCTAATGTCACACAATGGGACTTGTATTCAGTCTCCCTTTGAGGTAGTTGTTCGTGTGCCTCACTCTCTATAACTTGCATGTTCCTCGTTCTTAAGGAACCCTATTCTCTTAAGGGGTGTATTTTCATGAAACACAACAGCAAGATAATCTCCTAAAGGCAGAAGTTTATTGTGAACGGGATGGCGAGGTTTGCAAAGTCCGTGTGCTCTGTTTTGTTGGCCAGCTTCTGATTGCTGCCACTTCCCTCAGCCTTCCTTCCTAGCATCCATCATCATACTGATGTAACAGACTTCAAAAGTGCTCTGAAATAATACACGTTCTAATTAAAATGGTCAATAACAAATCTAGTGGTAAGGCTTTTTGATCAAAACTGGAGGGATTTCTGCCATCAAGCAGCATGATTATTTGCATGCAGCTACAAAGAACGTTCTTTCAACTGACAGCCACGTGCAAAAGCCACTCACAGATGTCCAAGGCTGGTAGCAAACTGTCTGTGAAAAATCCACAAGGCAAACAGAACCCACACAGGCTGAGAAGGAAAATAAAAACAAAAGCTCTTTGGGAAGTGACAATGTTCTGTAAATTCCCATGTCTTGGGGTTGCATAAATAAAGTCTCCAACTTCCTCTGCCTTTCAGGGTCAAGCAAACAAAAGATGCCATTTCTGTCTTTTGGAGCAAGAAGCAGAATTCCCAGTCAGTCATTGAATGAGGAAGGTCTAAAACGATATATACCACTTCTGGCAGCTGACTTCCCTGAAGGC